TTTGTTGGGGAAAGAGTAGGGGAGCTAAAAAGGTTGAAGGCTAGATTGCCCTTCAGAATGAAAAGGTTACATTTTGGGCGAAGATACACAGAGGGAAGCCGTTCTGAACGATCAGCCTTCCCAGTCGTCATGAAGTGTACGTTTTCGGGAGGCTCTATCCTCATCATGAGGGTGATGGGCAAAATTTTGTGGAAAATCTCGGCTGTTGGTCACCATCTTCTCAAGCAGAATGACATTGAGGGGATTATCACATCGAGGTCGGGAATAGCCCTCCAGATACCGCTTTCATGCTGATTTTAGGGAGGATCACTACTAGCTCACTAGGACTAGAAAGGGCTGAAAGTGGTTGAATCAGTCGAAACGGTCAAAGTAAGTTTAGAGTATTGTATGGGTCCACAGTAGGTGAACTCCAAATCATCCCAAATCACCCCTCTGTGAAGGCACGGAGCGTGATCAGGCTTGAGATCCTTGAGAAATCAGTGAAAGAACGGACTGTTCACAAAATACAGACGTACCGTGTGCTGAAGCGGTATGTAATTTCGTGTCACCGGCCATTGCGTCGACTTCACATATTCACCATTCTCATAGTATTTTGTAGTTCCAGGTGGTTCCACATCCGGTGGAAGTTCGATGGGCTCTCTAAAAACTAGTGGAAAGTTACCTGGAACATAAAAAGGATTCCATTCTGTTAGGAGTGAAGTTAAGCAGCGACTAGTAGAGGTTCAGTCATGCTGGCTAATCCGGCTCGTTTTTTTTGAACTGGAGCAGGACCCCTCTTAGGCATTAAACTTCACAGGAGCGCTCTTAAGACATGGTGTGTGTAGATCAGCGGTTGTTTAAAGGCAGTTGGCACGATGGTTTCCTACTTAGCCTAAAATGCTAGAAGGGCGCTGTATAGTGGGGAAATGGCGAAAGAACGGAGTGAAACGGTCAAAATGCGAAGAAAAAGCCTCCGTTCTCAGTGACTTGTAAATCGATTTATTAGGTCATCCCATTCAAAGTGGCCGACACATATAGAGGAATGGCAGAAAAGCAAAGGGGATAGAGCAGCGGGCTACTATACCATTTGGAAGCTAGTACCTTAAGCTGTGTATCTGTGAAATTTGGCGAACCTAGCCTCTGAAGAAGTTCTCGAGAAATTGAAGAGAAGCCCGAGTGGTGAAAATCGGCGCCGGTTTTTCAAATCAGACGTCATAAAAGGAAAGTGCGCTGCTCAAATTTGACCTGCGCCGGACCATAGTTGTGTGTAAGGGTGTTCTCGAAATACACGGTGGAAGATCTGGTTCAGGAGCCCGTACAAGGAAGAAAGGAAAAAATTTGTTGTCGTGGGTGGTCCCATAATATTCATCCTGCACAAGAAAAACGGGTGGATGAAGTCCAGGAAGTCAGGCCTGAATATCGTGATCAGCAGAAGCCTGGACCCTTGTCGAGCTCCCCGCGACGCTCTGACATTTCCAGCTGCAACTGCTGCCCGAGTTATGTCCGATAAACGGAGGATGGTCAAGAGGGTGGCGCATGGGTACCCAATTTTCTTATAGAAGCACGAACGCAGTACCGATTCTATACCTCCAGCAGTAATGTTCTCAGCATGAGATGTCACTCACAACTGTGAAAACGCACCCCGGCCCTAGATGAAATATGGGTGGTCTCGGACCTCGAGTCGAAACTCACAATCGTCAATTTTCTATGAATGCAGATGAGAAGCCGCCCGAGTTCTACCATGAAGAGTTACGTGGGCGCAAGTGGATGATCATCATAGCAAAGGATTCCCACACTGTGGCTTTCAAGCGGCTCTATACAGAGAACAAATCCGTCACTGTCGGTGCATATTGCCTGTTCCTCGGCATTCAGATCGACAAATGGATGCTACCACACAAACTACAAGAAGGCCACCGTTGCTCGTCATGACGCACCAAACCTGCAGTAACTTGTATTGTAGATCAGTGCTGGGACACAAACAATACTGAGACCTGGGTTCAATCGCCCCATTCGCCCGTCATAAAGCCATGCGATTACAACTGTTCTATTCAGTGAGAGTACTCTCCGACGGCAGACGCTACAATGTTTTGTCATTTGCCGAAATTGGCAACAACAGCAATTTACTCACACTTGTTGAAAAATCGAAGGTACCAGAGGTCCAAAGGCCCTCGGGGCACTGGGAGCGGGTCATTGGTGAAGGAGGGATTTACTCATCCTAAAGCTAAAATATCACTTTTCTATCTATTCTCCTCTTTGTTTTATTCAAAAAAACCATCGGCACTTTGAATGGGATGACCTAATAGGACGAGTTTCCCGTAGGCATCTTACCAATACCGCTACCGAAGATACGGCTGCATATGTGTACCCATGTATGCATGCAGCATCACGGCCGCTTCATACCAATCCCTTCGCTTCATAATTTGCTTAGCAAATGAATGAATACGAGCGTCAGGAACGGTCGTCCATTTGTGGGCGGGCGGGTTTGGGACGTAAAGTTGTGGCTTGATAGGGCCCTTATAAGGGCACCTTCCTCGGGGAAACCGCTATGCAGCGCCTGCCCAGGGTCGCGGAATTCTATCCTGCCAGGAGTATTGATCCTACTCGTCTTTAGGGATTTATCGTGCCAACTGCCTTTAAGTTATTCCTGACACTGAATGATTCGCACCTGGTGGACGGAAAACGAGAAATGGTCCGAGTTCGAGCTCTTATAGCCGTGCCTATGATAAGAGATTTAGAGGAGCCTACTTGTCACTGCTCCATCTCCACCATATAACGAAACACTACTCACTTTTGTGGAAGATACACGAAATGGCCATCGTCGAACTGTTTTCCGTCTCTGAGAAGTACTGACACCTTCACACGGCAATCCTTAATGAAAAGCTCTCAAATTCGTGCTTGTCATCGGTAAACAGAAGGTTATGCTATAAAGTCATGTTGAAGCAGCGTTTGTAGTTCGCACTTTTCTGCAGATCGCGGAGTCCTCGACTACAATTAAAGGGAGCGAACACCATAAAGGGGTGGGAAAGACCGGGTAAGCGCAAATCACCCCAGTGCCACTATTTTTATACGACTCCTCACGCCCATCGAGGTCAAGAAGGGTGCAGGGACGGGCATTTGATTGACTATCCCAATGAATATGAATGTTTTCCCCAACCCAATTACTATCCTTGATGCGGACTCCGAAGCTATTATGTGTACGACAAGTTAGGTACGACCCTGCAGTTGACCTTTTTGTATCTTGTCGAGGAACGGGGGGGGGGGGGGAGGAAGGGGAAGACCTCGAGAATTTGTTAAATTGTCGTAGTTTTTTGAAAGTTAGCTACATTCTAGATGTTGGTCTGGGGGGTCTGGGTTCGGCTGTGCAAGGTTGCACACGACGTCACGTAGGCAGGGTTCGCACCGGGATTTTTTATTGTGGAATTTCTGCTTGGTAAAGTAGGGCAAGCTGTCGCCAGTGTCGTGAGCTCGCTTGCCTGCGTGTTGAGGTAACTTGCGGGTTCAGGCGTTTTTTTTTTATGTCACTTTGGACTTGTCAACGCTTACAGGGTAATCACTAACCTGAAAGAAGTTCAGCATCTGATATCGTATCAGACTCCATTCGCTGATTGAAACCGGTCCATAGAGCATAAGAAACTGAATGCGTCGAAATTTATTTTTTGTTTTTTTTTACTTTTTCTTTTGTCTATTTGTTTACATATCAAATGGCGCTAAAGTCGCACTTGAGCGCAATTCAGTTGTACTGTTTATTTCCTTGAATTTTTCATTTTCTCAGGGCTGGATTCTAAACAAATGTATGCTCTTAAGTTATTCTTAACTATTATTTATTGTGAAACTTTGCATTCCAGAATTTCAGGGATCTTTTTTGCTTCTAGATAAATCATCGTTGTGAAATAATGAAGCTCTTAGTGCAGCACCCTCATGTCGCCTCTCGATGGGCGACATGCATGGTTGAGGGACAGAAGCTGGGAAACCGTTATCCCCCCATATAACGCGCCATGACGGAGTTCGAGTTGCAGATTATATCGGCTCGCCCACCCCCCGTGTTATCAGTTCGACTGTTCGGCGTGCAAGGATTTCTTTAATTATTCGGGTAGTGTTTTGTGGGGGCCAGCCACGAATGAAATGGGGATGAACTCAGTTATGGTCGGCTAATTAATCGTGGCCCTGATTTTTTTTTCCCTGTTTCAGTCATTATTTATGTATTCATTTTTTAGTTACATGTATTAATTTGTTTATTTATTCGCTTATTACTCCCAGTATGCTCAACTTGTTGTCTAGCAGCATTACCCGCAGTGCTTTCCAACTTGGGTTCGGAATGGTTCAAACGAATTCGAACGTTGAAATTCCAGAACGTTTTGGTTTGGACTAGATCAATGCCATTTCGCTTCCGACCGATTTTTCGATCGCCGAAACTAGTACCATTAATGCCGCGCTTCTCAATTCACAAGAAGGAAAGACCTTCTGTAATTTAGTGCATAATTAAGTTTCCGCATGAATAGCAATTAGATCATCTTATTAATCTGTTAACTTAATTTCATTTAGCTATTTTTCATTGGCTATACTGTATCGAAAGCTGGCAATGCGTATAACGAGAGGGTAAGAGGAAGAGGCATAAAAGAGAGAGAGAGAGAGAGAGAGAGCGACGAGCGGTGAGAGCAGATGACGAGAGAAAATGAGGAACGAGGGGAAGGGCAGAGGCCAATGTATGTCGAGGTACAGGCTGGCAATAGACCAGCTAATGTTGGCCTTTGGAACAATTAGCTAGCTCATTGCCAACCAGGACCAGGACTTTGTAGGTTTGGGGCTGTCGACAGAGGACAGGCGTTCAAGGCACAGGAAGGCCCATTGACTAGTCGACGACCATTGAGGAGTTTTAACGAGGGAACAGAAGAATGAGAGAGGATTCCATAGCTCAGAAATGCTTAGGAAACCTCGGAAATCTCCCTGAAACAGCTCACCAACCATTGCGTGGGCGTTGCGAATGAGTTCTTGGATGTCCTCCTCCTGTTTTGCGATCCGTTTCATGCCACTAAGGTGTTCATCGTGACGGTGAGGATCTGAATGGTAAGTTTGGAAACAGCCTAGATTCAGGTGAGGGTAGTTTAGAGGGGCGAAATAGGCCTTGGAAGAAGTTTTCTCTGCTCTCCAGGACTTCCCTTAACACCAAGTTCACCAAATATAGGGTCTGACCAGCTCACGGGAGAACATCCCTAAGCTTTTTTGCCCTCAAAAAGCTGCAGCTAGTCTCACCTGCTCAGGCATGACCACCGATTGGATCTGGTACTTTGTCATCATCAGTGTCAGATCACAAACAGCTTTTCCATACTAAAAATAGGCTGCCGTAACGTCATTTTTACAACACCTGGAAAAAAATATGTTACCTGCCTTTCTCCTCGCTGCAGCCGATTATACTTGAATGTGCAATTCGTTCAAACATGGCCTCGCCTTATGCCGTTCGGGGAAACATTGTTGCTGCGCCCTGACGTTAACTTACCTAGGTATTTGGAAAGGCTTTGGGCTGAGTCTAGTTACGCTCACTTGATATTTTCATGCAATATTTCCTGCTGAGTGTTTGACCGATAATGTTCGTTGCATACAGGTCACCCTTTCTTCAGATATGGTTCTTTGATTCTGAATAATGATTTTAGGTTCTTACGCGCCCTTAGTAGTAGTGCGTTTGATAAAATGCGGCTGTCTGTTCGCTAGGCTTCCAGCACTTCTTCAGCCTGAAGTTGTACAGTTTTCGACCCTGTGAGACCGGATCCGCGCCTTTTTTTTGTTAAATAGCATGTGTTTGGACTAAACGAAAAAAATTAGGCGGAGGACGCGGACGACTGGTTGGGAATCATTAAGAACCAAAGAGCTTCTGTTGGGCCCCGAACGCGTCGCTCTGCAGCCATTCTGAAAGCGATCACTCTAATTTGTAATTCCCGATCACCCAATATACCCCAGAGCATCACCGCCTTCAGAGTATTGTCATTGCGAATAGTAGGCAACTGTCAATGAGGCAGATTCCACAAGTCCGGCCATCGGAACTAGGTGGACCTCTAACTAGTAGAGGGGCCTTTGACAAAGATGTTTCTTACGCCTTCCAACCCGTTTTCTTTATAAGTTTTCCTTCCTTGTCCGAATTAGCTCGAAAAGGCCTACTTTTGCATCTCCAGTCTTTGTATACTAATTTGACCCTTCTCAGAGTTTGCCCCGTTTTCAAGAAGCAGGTTATCAACTAAACTCGTCACATATGCCATGCGTATCATCAGGCCATCCGTTACCGTGGCCCTAACGTCGGAACTTTACATAATCGGAGCGATCTGTGCTTTTGGTTAGAGCGACCACTCGTGCATTTCTTCCCTGATCGTACGGTAGCTTTCAGTCTAACGAAATGAGCTACTTTTTGAATTTGTAAAAAACCTACTCCTTTTTTGCCTTTTCGATTGTAACTACACTCCATATCACGGAGATGGTTGGGGGGGGGGGGGCGGCGGGAGGTAGGCAGCCGTATGGGCTTACTTTAGTCATCACGGCGGCTGCGCTTATCGTGGGATTATATTTGACTTGTGTCAGATGGGACTATTCTATGCGAAAGGCATCCCATATCAAGTCAAGAGAAGTACGCAGCCACGCCTTATCCACCTCTGGATATAAAATTTCCCAGATTTTTTTCTCGTATTTCCCAACATTTTTACACACTTGATGCTTCTCCATTCGAAAATGCAGGAATGCGTAAACATCATGAAAACTAGCGAGTTCTGCCCTCCCAAGGCCAAATATCCCCCAACGTCTTTAAAGCCCCACAGCTCGCGACCGCAGATTGCGGAAAACGGAACTTAAATACGAACGGAAAAGTGCTGAGTATCTGACTAGCGGAGAAAAGCAGCAGAAAAGCAGTCCGAAGGTGGATATGCGAGAGAGGTGTAGCATAGTGGTACGAGCCTAGTATCTAGCAGCCTGGTGTGGGTGGGCATGGGCTTAAGGGGTGTCTATGGGCTTAATTAGTCAGCTTTTAGCGGAGTTCTTGCCGATTTTCTTATTTTGAAAGTAGCGCAGCCTCACAAATCGCCTTCCGGATCGTCCGACACATTTGAGAGGTCATAGCCTTATTTTATGCGGAATAAGCCTTCAAAACAAAGTGATCAAAGATCACTTACCGATCTACTAACGCTAGAATTCTCCAGCTCTTATCTACACTTCTCGGGTACTGTAACCCAATTAACACTCTATGCCACTCACCTTTATCCTCTGCTCGAGAATATAGATCATCTCACCGGCCATGTTCACATAGAAGCAATGCGGAAATTTTAGACTCACTGTTGTGGGCCCAGAAAGTAGTCAACACAGTCAAAATATTCAATAGAACGAAGTAGGGAGTTCAAACAGCCGTGATGAAATGTCCGTAGAAATGAAAAGATGGCTGCGTATCATACGAGTGTACGCAATGAAGTGTTGGTGCGCATATGTGTCGCTTCGAAGCTGAGAAGAGAGCTCGACAACGTGTGTTGTCATGACGACGTTCGTTTCGCTAATCAAAGCCGGTGATTGCAATTCGCACGCATATAGAATACCGCCCCTAATTTTTTTGCAAATCGACGGTTTTGCGGACGCATTTAATTCCGTTCGGCAAACCGTCGCATTACCATAACTTCCGTAGAAGTGGTTGAAATGATCTGAAAATTAGACCAGTCGATAGCTCTGCTCATTGCGAATCTGACAGTGTACGAATCTTCTTAATTTTCTTAATATTTTCAACTGATTCTAAGGGAAAACCACGATTGAGTCTCCAGTCACCTAAGGTGTTACCTGCGGACATGGCCATGTCGTAAACCCTCCACTTGGATCATGATCTTGACTCAAAGTGTTTCAAAGTCTGAATTACCAACATATTCGAAAACATCATGGTTCCGTGATCATTTTGGTATCACCAATGATAGGGTTTTCTGTGTGAAAGTTCAAGATTTGAAAACTTTAGTGTTTAAAAGCGATATTCGAGTTTATTGCTTCTTGACAGTCTAGCTTTCGAGGGAAACAGGGTTACTTCAAGCCAAATAGGAGGCAAAGGTAAACAACCACGATACCCGCCCTAATTGTTCGAAAAAAAGTTCGCCAGTTCCGCGATTTTTTTTTTCGTTTTTTGCTATAACCGTTTCTGTAAACTTCTCTTATATAGAAACTTACGCTGTTAGACTCACCTCATCGAGTTCCATAACATACTTTCCTAAAAAATTGAAAAAGTGGAATATTGAACTTCGCTTTCCGTCGAAGTAGCTGAGGACACTCGTAGGCGAACGAGTCTCGCTATAATTGTAACCAGAGGACCATCGTTGGAAGTTGATCCTTTCAGAGATGAGATGGCGCACTACGGCGCGTATAAAATGATTATGAATAAGGTAGTTGTGTTTTTCAAGGGATGATGATCATTACGGTGTAATTTTTTCCGAAAATAGAGAGGTTCCACTCGGCGTCACTTTTGAACGATATCGCTTTTTCAGTTCGATAAATCTCGCGCAGTGGTTCAGTTAGGACCACACTAGTACAATGGGCCTAATGTTTGGAGCCGTGTTTTCCCCAACATCCGCAAAATTCAAGGATAGAGTCGAGAAGGAGGGTTTCTTAGCTACATGAATTGAGCACTTCGCGCGATACTAGGACAAGTACGCGATTTTTTGAGCGTTTTGAAACAGGATTTTCAGGCGTTCCTGAGTGGCCCATACGCTTCGTTAAAAAGACCGTACGTAACAGAACGATCTTTATGCTGTCTCCAACAGTCTCTCAGTGGTGGCGAAGCAGTTGCATATTTCAGACTGGTTGTTGTTGTCGGCTGCCAAATTCAAGACTTCTTTCAGAGCAAAGTTCACATGTTTTTCATAATAAGAAAATCCCAGTCAAAGTCACACCATTCGGATCCTCGTGAAAAATGCTACATGTCCATATGAAAATCACCTCATGGAGCTTCCATGACCTTTCGCAGTTTTCTCCGGCTTTCTTTCTTCTATCAGCGGTCAATCGACCTCCTAAGTAGTTATCCCACCGAGGTGTCAGGGCATAGTATTGATCAGTCCTACTACTGTTAACCACCATTGCAGTCTCTTCTGTTCACTATTTTGCAACAGATCCGTGCGGACTGCCGTTGTGGAAATTTTTTTCATATTCCAAACCTCAATTTTTCACCAAAATTTCAAAAATTTGATGAAATTCGAATTCTTTGAATTCCCTCCATCATTGATTAATGTTCGTTCACTTAGTAACTCTCCATGATCCGTGAGATTTTCAACTGCCTTCCTTTACTTTGAAGACAATAGAAACGTTAAATGTTTACAGTTTTGAATTTCCAGAAATCGCCAGTTTTGCATTTCAGAAGTTAAACTGAATAGCTACAGTTTACATGCCACACAGCAATATATTAATTTATGCTTTCTCCATCGTTGCAAAAGGCCGCACTTCCGATCGCCACCTGCCGGACCTCGCGGGTACTGCGCCTTATTACCTTAAGGACCTTTTGTGCGCTCCGACTTCAACCAGATTTACGAGCCGAATTGTGCCATCGAGATTTCCACACCCATTTGAATAAAGCGGATACCAATACAAGGCTCAAATTAACTAATCTGCAAAATGCTTGCCATAATTCTATTTGGAGGAACCCTACTCACATTTCAGAAAAGCACGATGTCCTTCAAAAGCGATGAAACTTTAATTTGAAATATGGAAGAGTTTTTCGACAACGGCAGTCCTAATCGATCTGTTCTGCAAAATAGTGAACAGAAGAGACTGCAATGGTGGTTAACAGTAGTAGGACTGATCAATACTATGCCCTGACACCTCGGTGGGATAACTACTTAGGAGGTCGATTGACCGCTGATAGAAGAAAGAAAGCCGGAGAAAACTGCGAAAGGTCATAGAAAGCTCCATGAGGGTATTTTATATGCGATCATGGTAGCATTTTTCACGAGGATCCGAATGGTGTGACTTTGACTGGGATTTTTTTACTATGAAAAACATGTGAACTTTGCTCTGAAAGAGGTCTTGAATCTGGCAGCCGACAACAACAACCAGTCT